TATGACATGGCACCCCGAGGCCCCCCGGCCTCTATTGCGATTCGCGGGGTGCGGGGGTAGGGCAAGGCTGTTGGGTCACACGACAGGATGGGAAGGTAAATTCCCCTCACTTCGCATACCCCCGGGCCCATATCTCCGACAGCAATGCTAGGAAGTCATACAATATGAAACGGAGGGAGTACTACAAAAAAAACTTGTTTTCGCCATGGGTTTCTGGTACGTCATTCCTTTCCGTTTCCCACTTAGACGGATGTGTTTTTCACACTTTGTTTCCGATTTGGCGAGCGGTCTTCTCACACAACAATGCTACCCAGCACTAGCGATCCCGGACGACGTCCATCTAGGCAGCGTCCAGACCACCACTTGGACCGAAGAATTTTTTTCATTTTTTTTAATATTTACAAAAATAGTCTATCGGTGAAAAGATTTACAAAAATAGACCCTGCCGCCCTCACTAGGCCGGCAAGCCGATGTGGCAGACGGCGCCACGATGGCGTCGTGTGTGCATTTTGCGCTTAGGTCCGGAGCGCAATGCAATTTGTGCTCGACGAAAAAAGCATTTGGCTGGTTTTTTTGCATCTAGGGCCCTTGCCGCCATCTAAAAAACCAGCCAAATGCTTTTTGCAGCTCTGTTGTTAACAATTAAAGAATTATTTATTGGTAAAACTTGTTAATAATGTTTTAAAAATTGCATTGAAGTCGGTTGTTTTGCAATTTCATATTTTAAGTAAGAGTTTATGTTGTAACTTATTCGACATATTAGTGTACGAAATTGATATTGGCCTATCGTAGTCTCGGTCGTCGAAACATTATATACACTTAAACAAGGAGAATTATGTCACGTAAAGAAATAATAGTAGAGTTTGAGCATGATACATCTGGTTCCATTGCGGTTACATAGATAAGATTGGATTCAAACTAGGAGGGAGGTAGTGAAAGAGTTAAACACAACGATGATGTAGTAATGGGACAAATTTCAATAAGGTAAGTTGTCCGATAAAAGCTAACCCCTACGTGAGGATCCCTCTCCTCTCTCAAACTACGCTTTAGTAAACCTGTATTGCTCTGGTAGTTCAAGCTGCACCACACGGTTAGGTGGAGTTAGAACCCTTTTGGTGTCTATCCATTCTCTGTATTGACATCTCCTTGGTGATTCCTGTGAGAAACGAATAGATGTGAAGCGAACAAAGTTAGTAAATCTTGTCAGAAAATAAGGATTCATGATAATCAAAATATTCTTACCATGAAATCGTCGTCTAGAATATTTGGACAAAAAGAACTTTCGACCCAAAGTCGTAGGCTTTATGGAACGAAGAACCTGACAACGATCATCGCATCTGCATTTTGGACGGTCTTCCCATGGAGGGAGTGCCGTAGTTAACACCCGCCAGCCACACTGTTGTTCACGACGTTGTCGTTCGTAAGCCGCTTTTCTTTGCAGGTATTGCTCAGTACTTTCGGATGAGAAATACCAGCGTCGTTCTTGTAAATAAGTAGTTAGGTCAAGAACGGGATTTTCTGTATTGACCCACTCGATGTATCCGCAAGCCGTAGCGTGGGTCTGACGAATAGAGTAGTATGATGAAGAATAAAACAATTGCCCATACAAAATGAATAAGCATATGCAGATAATAAAATACCTCACGGTCATAGTTAGGGCACCTAAAAAAGTGCTTTCCTCGAATGTCAGGATTCATCGAAGCCATTAGTTGGCATCGGTCACTGCAAAGGCAGAGAGGCCGCTGGCACCAAGGTGGTAGTAGGTATACACAAGGATCGCTACACCAGTTCGGATCCTCAACACCCTAGCGTCTAGCCATTGCCGAAAGCTAGTGGGATTTGCAATGAAACCAGTGAGGAAGAGAGTATTGAATGTGATTGAGTTATGACAGTTTGTGAGACATCGCTCATTATGGCGACTTATGTAGGCACCAAAATCGCAATGATAACCTTGACATGTCTACATTATGGGCCATGGTGGGTCAGCCTGATTGGCGCTGAAAGTAAGATTGGACATATGCGGATATATACCCTGCCGCCTTGTATATGGGCAGAATAAGGCCTTCTGCCCTTTTAGAGGGTGGCATGGCGCCAAAATGAAGATTAGACTTATGCGGATGTGACATGGAAGATTAGACGTTTGTGGAAGAATAAGGGCATGAGAAGCCATTCAGCAGTCGTATCACACGCGAATAAAGGAGGCTGCATCGGTGCGGCAGAAAGTACTCGTGCATGCGCTGAAAGGTATTGTGCTTTTGTAAAAAGTAATAGTGAACTTTAGGGATGCGAAACCCGAATAGCAACTACGTATTCATTCTACAAGCATACAGTACTAGCATGTAAAGTAATTAAACAAAGAGAAGTCTGCTCTACTGGCCCTGCCCCGCGCCGCGACCACGCTTGGTCCTCCGGGCCTGTACTCACACGTGATCCTGGGAGTACGTGAAGCGATCCGGTGGCACATCACGGATAGCACGAGTGTCAGGCGGTGCAGTGGAGGGCGACTGGTCCTACGTCTGCACCGGCGGTGCGCCTCCCAGCAATGAGGGACCGATGACGTCCTCTATCGAGTGCTGGAAGTCAAAGTCGCTAATGTCGAAGTGCAAAGCGGAACCCCACCCGTACTCCGACGATGTCCTGGCATGGTTCATGGTTGGTGGACCCTGACTCGACGTGCCAAGAAGACAAGGCAAATTGTCATGCGAGGCTTCGTAAGTTCCAAATCTCATCTCTATTATTTTTTTCTGTTTGGCCCTCCACGCCTTGGCATAGCTAATAGTATACTTGAATGTCTCTGCGATATGTTGGATTATTGACTTTGGTTCATATGTCAGATTGTCGATGACATGCGCATACATCTCAAATGCAACAAATGCACATGTAACGTTCCTGTGGTATTTCTGAACACCAGGTAGATAACATGTATGCTTGGTAACGACTGACACTGTCTAGTAATCCTTCCATTTTCCCTTATAAGCGTGCACTCTCCAGGGACACCCATCTTTTTCCTTAACACACCTAACTTCATATTGTAACCAGTTGAGCTTGGCAACCAAAACTCTCTATGAAGTGACACTGCAAAATACTTTGCCGCCTCCTTCATATATTCTCCATTAGCATAAATCGCTTCTTGAATAACCTCATTGTACTCCCATCTCACACTATCCTCTTCAGAGACGACCAGACCAGAAAAATCCTCAGTAGCCCATTCCGCTGGATTAATATCGTTCTCCTCATCACCTGACGAATCATCTTCCTCTACACGTTTGTTGTCAGAATCCTCTCTCTCCATTTCATTCCCTCATTAGCCACTCCACCAGGTTGAATGCCCACTGGAACTACTACGCCACCTTCCTCTGGTGCGTTGACCTCTTACACGAAAGTCTCATTCACTTCAGCACTTGGTCCCTCGCCATCATCCATGTTCATTTGCACACTTGGATCCTTCGGGTGAACATACGGAAGCATAGCTAGAGGCCACCCGTGTTGCAATGCATTCTCCACATACCATCTCCACATTCGAGAGTTTTAAACTGGCATTAGTTCCCAATGAAAACCCTCAATTGCCCGACTTACTACAAGATAGATTGTTATGCCACTTGTCTGTGAATCAACTCCCAAGCCCCTCATCAACCATCCTTTTATAGAAGGTTGTAACGGACTCAAAATTTCAGGGAAAAATTTTTGCAAAATATTTTAAGTCATGCTCTTCTTCATTCTTATGTTAAGTGACCTTGCTTTCTCTTAATCTCTTTTACTCTTGATCTAAGTTTTATTTGCAAAGTTAAAAGCTCTCTTTTTAAATTTTATAAAATCCCTATTTTATTCTCTATTTATTTCAAATTTTATAAAACCTTTCCATTTATTTCTTTAATTTCTAACTTTGGCTCAAAATTATATTTCCTTTGAACCCATTCCCGAACACCTCCAACGAATACCCTTTCAATTCCCGCTTAACCATCCCTAGAGCACATGAAATATCAACCTCCCTAGAATACATGGAATACCAATTCTTATTCTCCCCGGAACCAATACTTTCCTTTTGATCTCCACCCAACTATCTCCAGAATACATGAAATGCCATTCTCTAACCACCCTAGAGTACATAAAAATGACAATTTCCAATTTCCTCAAAGATAATACTCTCCCTTTGAACTCTACCCGAATATCTCTAGAGTACATGAAATGTTGATACCTTTCCTTTAGACTCCACCTATATTTCCCAGAGTCCATAAAATATCCTTTTCAATCCCCTTTTGAGTCAACATACCCATCCTTTAGAGTTTATCAATCTACCACTAATTCCGTTCCTATAAAAATTCCTATCCACATATACTTCCGAATCCAGTTCTGTACTCCCACAATTATTTTCCCTTTGAAATCTCGTTCCTCCAAATTATCCATTTATAACCCTGAGGCTAAACCGGCCGGTGTAATTCCAAATTTTGTTGGAATTTATTTTGGATCACCCCTATCTAGATCTATCCACAAAAAACCTTTACCTCCTTCCATCCGATCCAAAATATTTTATGGTTAAGTTCTTATTTTAATCGAGCCGCCAATTTGATTACCATGGCTTGATCGCATCCTTGGCACAAGAATAATATTATCACCAATAATTGCTCTTGTGCTAAGAAACCTAATTTCTAATCCCTTCCATATAAAGTCCGAATTTTCTTTAGCCCACCACCGAATCACCAGAAATTCATACCGCATATCTGGGGACTAAAATCCTATTTATTCCTCCATCCATTTTTACCACCATCCCAAATATTTATCCAAAGTTAGTAGATTAATTATTTCTATTTTCTTTCCTTCCATTTGATTATTTCAATCTTACATTTTAAAATATTAGAGGAAATATTTTGTGACAAGTTTTATATATTTGGTTCTTATTGAATTCTATTAAAATTGGAGCATCTTTATTTTGAATCCTTTTCAAGTTTATATTTCAAAAATAAATATCTTTAGTTTTATTTTTAAAATATTTCAAACCTCTTTAGCATTTTAAAAAATCTATTTTAAAATTCCTTTTCTAAAATTTCAAAAAGATCCACTAACATTTTTCTTTAGATCTATTTCTTTTGAATTCCTTAGCCAAAATCCAAAAAGATCCACATCCATCCTTTGATTTCCATCTCCTTTAAATTCCTTGACCAAAGTCCCCAAATAACTTTCTTTAGATTTTATCTCCTTTGCATTCTATTCAATTCCCTTCATATAAAATTACCAAAATTCTCTATTCAATTTGGGCCAAAAACTCCTCATTTGGCCCATTCCATTCTCTTTTTTCTTTTCCCTCCATTTTTTCTCGGAATAAGTTATCTAAGGTCCCTTAACTTGTCAACGAATCCGATTTTCGTCCTTCAACCGGAAAACCAGGTACAACAGGTCTCTCAACTATCAAAACCGGTGCTGATGAGGTCCCTCGGCGGTTTTGACTAACGTGCCGCCTACGTGGCTAATTTAACTCGGTCTTCATCTGACGTGGCATTGACGTGGTGCTTACATGGCAATTTATCTTGAAAAATAATAAAACATGGAGGACCCAAATATCAGTTTCACAAAAAAATAATAATAAATAGTGGGACCTGCGTGGGCCCTACCTATCATCCTCTTTCTCCCCTCTTATCTTTATCATCTCTCTCAGTCTCTCCGGTGGGAGAGGAGCAACGTTCGTGCTCGAGTGCCGGCCGGCGGGAGGAGAGGAGCGGCGGCCGGTGAGAGAGTGTCATGTATCTGGTGGGCTGCATGGGCTGCTGGAGAAATGGGCTTGGCCTAGCTCACATACTGAAGGTGCAAGCAACCAAGAAGTATAAATACCAACCGTGGCAGTGAGAGAAGGCATCGATGAATTAGAACCTGATGGTTGTGGCCTCTTCTTCCTCCTCTTGATTTCTCCTCTAATCCCCTACTCTGTGTTTCTCTGATTCCCTTTACCCCCTGCTTCTCTTCCCAATCTCTGCTGCTAGTTCTTCCAATTTGTATCCCTAAACTTGATATACAGAGTTGGAGAGGATATATTGCTCCTGTGCTTGTGTTCACCGGTGAGATTCATGTGGGATCGTGACAATATGGTATCAGAGCAGTCGATTCATGGGATTCCGATCCAGGAGATGCAGTGGACGACACATGGGGGCAGTGACGACTGTTGGGGCCAGGATTTGAGCCATGGAGGTGACAGTGTCGGAGGCGCCCGTCAGGTGTTCGATGAAATGCCAAGCCGGTTAGGAAGTGCTGCAGGTGCTGCACTCCATGTCCAAGTGAACCACCTCATCTACCCTGTGTCTACCAATGTGATGCATCAAGTCTTCAACCCCTACGGAGCAGTGGCGGTGCAGATGCTTGTGGTCGATGCATGGCGTGTGGAGGCAATTGTTTGGTTTCGGACGACCTGCGACGCTGAGTGGGCTCAGGCTGAACTCCACGGCCGCAATATCTACGATGGGGGCTGCGTGTTGGATGTGCAACATGTGCCGACCTTGCTCGAAGACAGAGCCGACATTGCGCCCACCAAGTGTTCGATGCAAGTACCAGTATGTGCCACCACAAAGTCTGATACCCAGAGCACTCCTACTACTCTGGAACACGTGTTCCCGGCCACCATGAGCCCATCTGCGGCCTCAACCAAATCAGCAGTCACAACAACGTCGGCTTCACTCACCGAGGCCATGGAGGCTGAGGCTAGCATGGACAAGGTGGTGGAGAATGCAGGCAAGGCCATTCAAGACCTGTGCACTAGGATCGATCGGATTTTGGAGGCATTTCGCGACACCAAGGTGGATTTATCCGAGAACAAGGATTCCACTAGAGATGTGGCAGTGTTGAGCGCCAACACTAGTCCAACTACCATTGCATTGGAGGTCAGTGCTGAGGCCGGCCCAACTAACCATGTTGACTCAGCCAAGCTTGGCATGGGAACAACCATCGAGTGTTCAATGAAGGGGAAGAATCAGTTGGTTGATGATGATGGCAAAGACATGGCCAACGATGAGAGAACTGAGCTCATTGAAGTGGATACCAAGTTTACTTCTGTGAATTTATGCTTCAGAGATCCATGGTTAGCCCTCAATGCAATTCCTTCCAGGATCTTGATTGGGTGTCTAAGCCATGACCTTGGTGTTAACAGTCTCTCGTTGGTTCCATCTACGTTGGAAGTGCCATACCATTGCTTTGTATTGGGCTCAGTATGTAGAGTTAGCTCTCCACCAGTACCACTTTGGAGAGTGGCAGTTCCATTGTACAGCGATCAGGTCTATTCAGGTTCTCGGCCCTCGCCATGGCCTGATCCATGGTTGCATTCAGGCAGCGGAAGTGTGGTGGTATTTCAGCCTCTCCAACCATGGCCACCCCCTCTACAAGCCAAGAGCAAAGGTTCTATTGTTGAGCGGCAACTAGAACTGTGGCATGATCCTCAAATAAAACAAGATAACAAAGGTGTTGTGGTGAATCTCCTACAACCCAGACTTTCACCTGACAAATGGAATGAGTCTTGGTTCAGTTGTGATAATGCTTGGGAGTTAGCACAAAGTCACTGCAAGTTCTTGCTGACAGAACACATGGCCTTGATTGCACAATATGAAAAGAATCGCTTTGAGCAAGATCTAAGTCTGTGTATGGTAAGCAAAAGGGCATCCTGGAATCTTTGGAATCTGTTGACTGAGGGATCAATATCATTAATGGAAGCAAAAGCACAATTGTTTAGGAGGATGCATTGGGTTGGTAGTAAAACTATGGATCAATTTGTGTGGAATTTATGCATGCCGAATATGGAGAAATCACCATGGCCACCACCTCCTCATAAGATCAGAACTGATTTATTGTGGTTGAATTCGCATGAAGTATCATCTCTCCAATTCAATGCTGAATTCTGGAGGTTGCTGGCAAGAATCAATTTGTTTGATTGTCATTCTGGACAAGAGGATATGCAGCTGTTCCAGGCAGGTGCAAAGCAGTACTCTCCTTTGGTGGTTAGAATGGCCCTTGCCGATCATTTACAAGCACCCTGGGACCCTGGAGGCAGTAACCTGGTTACTCTCTTGCATGTTAGGAAGGACAGGCAGCAACCACCACCACGACCACTGCAAATTGTCTTTCCTATTGGATTATCTGGTGTGAAGGTCTGGCTATTGTTTGCTCTCACTTTGGTGCAGTTCCTTGGATCGGTTACCACGTATAATGCAAAGTTTTGGAGATTTTCGCCTGATAGTGTTTCAATCCAAGGGAGTAAAGAATCCAATTTCAGGGTTGCATACCTTATGTGCAGAAGTTCAGATAGGCAACTTGCAAGCAGCAATATAGCTCTGAACATTCAAACAAGCTCTTCTTGTCATGTTTTACACAAGTGTCGTCAAGTTCTAAATTCTTGTCAAGCACCAAGTTCATTTCAGCTCAAACTTACAGCAAGTTGTTTACTGGGCAAACATTCTCTTAGAAGGAAAGGCATAGGTTCTGTTCCTACTGACAAAAGAACCCATTTACAAGTGCTGCTGCATCAACTTATGTACAAGAAATCATATCAAATGTATGAGACCAGAGCTCAAGTGCTGAAACTGACAAGGCCTTGGAATCTTGGAATTCTTCTTCTCAACAATTCCTTGATGGCTATCTACAGCAGAAGTTGTTGCATCGACTTGGGGACAAGTCGATTTTTAAGGAGGGAGGAATGTCATGTATCTGGTAGGCTGCATGGGCTGCTGGAGAAATGGGCTTGGCCTAGCTCACATACTGAAGGTGCAAGCAACCAAGAAGTATAAATACCAACCGTGGCAGTGAGAGAAGGCATCGATGAATTAGAACCTGATGGTTGTGGCCTCTTCTTCCTCCTCTTGATTTCTCCTCTAATCCCCTACTCTGTGTTTCTCTGATTCCCTTTACCCCCTGCTTCTCTTCCCAATCTCTGCTGCTAGTTCTTCCAATTTGTATCCCTAAACTTGATATACACAGTTGGAGAGGATATATTGCTCCTGTGCTTGTGTTCACCGGTGAGATTCATGTGGGATCGTGACAGAGAGGAGCGGCACGCGGGCGCCAGCCGGTGGAAGGAGAGGAGCCGCGGGCGGAGGCCGAGGGGGGAGGAGAAGTTGGCGGGATTTGGGAGGGAAAGGAGAGGGAGAAGCGGCCGCCGCCGCCGCCGCCGCCGCTCCGGAGTGTTGGCTCCTCCCTTTCCGACATATCTTGACCCACATCGTTTCTGTTGTTGTTGTCAGTGTACCACTGGGTGCTCTCAAGCACGGGGCGCCTCGACGGCGTGCTGGCCGGCACACTCCGCGGCTACGTTTGGTGGCCGTCGATCTGCGACGGCCATGGGGGAGACGGTCGCAGCTGGGAGGCGAGAAGGCGGCGACCATTGGCTTGGGCCCCAGCCTCCTCTCCACCATGCTAGCACATCGACGGGAGCTCGGGAGGCTGCGGTGGCGCAAAATGATGCGGGAGCTCGGCTAGGCAGCACTGCCGCCATGGAGCTCAATGCAGTTTGCGGCGGATAGCTACCCGCGTGCACGACGGTGTGGGCACCGCATGGCGAAGCACGCGCTCAGAGATGCATTGGGGTTGCCGCGACGGACGGAGCCGCACGCTGCCGAGGCCACGCGCGGCGGCAGGCTTGATGGAGAAGCAGAAACAGTTTTTTTTTTTTTTCCGTTGCAGCGCGGCACTTTGAGTTTTGGTCCTTGGTAATGGTAGGAGCAGGAGCAGAAGCAACCTTGTTGGCTTGTTGGCCTTCCTGCCTTTCCTGCACTACTTCTTCCCCGATCAACCCTTGAACCAAGTTATGTAGGACTTCCACAACAACAGCAGCATCAGCGACGGCAGGGACTGGATGTAGGGATGGGTAATCAACTAATCATGCTTTCCGGCGGCGGCGACTAATCAACTAATATGCTCCGTCGCGCTCGCCGGCGACCTTCTCCTCTGCCTCCTCCTCCCCCAGCCACCTCTCCACTGCCCGCGGCCTGCCGCTCTGCCCGCCCCTCCGCTCGCCTGCGGCCTACCGCCGCCGCTCCGGCGTGAGGATGAGGGAGAGCCGAGAGGAAGAAGAGGGACAGCCGAGAGGGACTTGTGGGGCCCACGTGGGTCCCACCATCTTTTTTTATTTGACATGTGGGCCCCATCATTTTTTTTAATTTATGTGTGAAACTGACATGTGGGTCCCATGAAGTTTATTATTTTTCTGGATCGGATTGCCACATAAGCGCCACGTCAATACTACATCAGATGAACACCAAGTCAAATAAGCCATGTAGACGCCATGTCAGCCAAAACCACTATCAAAACTACCGAGGGACCTCATCTGCACTGGTTTTGATAGTTCAGGGACCCGTTCTATCTGGTTTTCCGGTTGAAGGGGAAAAATCGGATTCGTGGACAAGTTAAGAGACCTCAGTTGAACTTATTCCAATCAGTTATAACATGCATGGAATGAAACAGGTTCTCGAAATTGTGGACTTACTAAATTCCTCTCTTATTGGGCCTCACTCTAGCTAGGCCCAGATTCCTGGTAAGCCTTGTAGCAATTGGTGTAGTCGTGTAGAGGATCTGATTGCTTTTTCCAAACTTTGTTTTGTCCTTCACTGCATAAATATACACTTATGTATTTTACCTATTTTATTTAAGAGGCTTCTCTGTAAAATTGGTTATACTCTCAGTTCTTCCTAATAAATTCTATGCAAAAATTGCTACTACGCATCTAAATTTTATGGTCTTTGGTGATGGCCAATTGGCCATCAGAAGAACATATATACCCTGAGGATAGATTAAAAACTTGGTAATTTATTGAGGATACCATTGTCATTATTTAATTATTATTTTGGGATAAATGGAGAGAGAAACATGCGAATATTTATCATTAAAAATATTCACTCATCCTAGCGCATTGCAAGCGTGTAGATTAATTAGCAACCGATATGCAAGCTAGTACTCCCTCCGTTTCACAGGGTAAACCATTCTAGCATTTCTCACATTCATATTGATGTTAATGAATCTAGATACTTTCACAATGTAAGCCATTCTAGCATTTTTCACATTTATAATGATGTTAATGAATCTAGATATATGAATGTGGAAAATACTAGAATGACTTACATTGTGAAACGGAAAGAGTACATTGCAAGGGGCTTTTAACTATTTGCCACTTTTAGATTTGGCAAATAACTATTTGCCACCCCTATCTCAATGACATATGGGTCCAGTGGCAAAAAGTTATTTGCCACATCTAAATATGGCAAATGGTTAAATATCTCACATTGCAAGGATCCTTTATAACGTGCTCATATGGATATGTTGGCTACATAATGTAGTATTTATAAATTATAATGCGAGCCGAATCAAAAAAAATGATACAAATAAAAGTTATTGTTATATAAAAAAAACGTTTTAACCTGATGTCTACTAATAAAAACCAACTTCTTACTACATAGTTAGGCCTGGTTTAGTTCCTCAAATTTTCTTCTCAAAAACATCACATCGAATCTTTGGACACATATATGAAGCATTAAATATATATTAAAAAAATTAATTGTACAGTTAGGGGGAAAATCGCGAGACGAATCTTTTGAGTCTAATTAGTCCATGATTAGCCATAAGTGTTACAGTAACCCACATGTGCTAATGATGGATTAATTATGCTCAAAAGATTCGTCTCACGGTTATGAAATTAGTTTTTTTCATTTGTGTCCAAAAACCCCTTCCGATACCCTGTCAAATATCTGATGTGGCAAAAAAAAATTCTTTTCACGAATTAAACTAGCCCTTAGAAGGTAATTTTTTTTTAAAGAAATGAATAACTTGAGGTTGGAGCCTTGGACACGGTGTGAACTCCCAAGTACGAAAGTCTAGTTTGCCTGCGTCATTGTAGTGCATATACGCAATGAGGCAGCCCTCAATTCCGCCGCATCTTTTGTTGGTCAAAGGATGGGTAATTGTATGCGGCCGCCTTTTTTCCGTGGTAGATGTTCTACTTCTCATGCCTCAGCTGCATTTCTGGAGCAAAGGACCTGACAGTTCGATCGAGCGAGCTAGCGGCTCTGATTGTTTGATAAATCGTAGGAAATACAAACTAATCAAATAAAAAAGATTTATACGATAAAACTTAGCGATTTAAATTGAGTTCTGAAAAACAAACTACGATGAATTTTTTTTTAAAAATCAAGATGCAGATGAACAGGAGTTCGAGAGTTTGAACTTCGAGTAGCTAGCAAAGTCAATCTGAACAGAGTGCACGGTAGATTCGACCTTTTCTTATACGGTGAAGCTCAATTTTGGGTAGATATTTTATTCGTCTCTTTACTAGTGATAAAATAAGATCTAGGCAACGCAGGTGACAAAAACAACTAAAAACTAATTACGAAATCAAACTATAAGAAAAATTAAAATCAACTTGTTGAACTTTATGGGAAAAGCTGGTCATGTGATAGTGAGTTGTAGGTAATAAGTTCAAATCCATAAAATCAAGATATACCTCTAGGATCTCTCTTTTCTAATATGTGTTAGGAGACGAATTCATAAAAGTGTTGTATTGCTTGTATATTTGTGTATGTGCATGTGTAACAATAATTACCACTTTGGTTATGGATGAACGGTAAAATTCAAACAAATTTTATAAAACAAATACATTTCAGTTTGATTTTATTACCTGTTTACCAAGCAATTTCTAGATTCCTACCGGCTTGTCTGATCACCATGATGACTGAGGCTGTGTTCTTTGCTCCTAGTCCCAACTCCTCTCCCTTGTTTCTATACAAAAGTTGCTTAAAATATCATAATGATCCATTTTTTTAAAAAAATAGCTAATACTTATTTAATCACGTATCAATAGACTACTCCTTTTTCGTGTGGAGGAGTTTTGTTCCCATCCACCCAAAACTAACACAGCCTGAGCAGTTAAGATGACTAGCCCCAACGTTTGGCATATTGAAGAAAAAAGCAAAACGATATATTTACAAATGAAAAATAATTTATGAATAAAACTTTTATCTACGTGTTCTTAATGATCTAAAAGCAAAGAATAAAAAATAAACTACACTGAGAAAACCCCAAACTCTAAATTTTAAAATTTAAATTTTGGCTAATAAGTATAAGCATAACTGTATAAGCAAAATGATGATGCTTGACATTTGCCATCCGTACCGTGATCCTCCTTTTACTGCTCACCAAGAACGAGTTTTAACACAAATTAAGATTGATAGAAAATGATGTGATTGATTAAGCTTATAAAGTTAAAATAAAATGTTTATAATAAAGTAGTATAAGACGGCCTCGACCTCTTGGTGACGGCCTTGATGGAGGCATTGGACCTTGTAGTCAACTCAGTACATGGCATTTTGCGGCGAGCAACGTCGACGACTTGATGGAGGTTTAGACAAGTCGGAGTCAAAAGAAACGGACTCGATAGGCAAAAAGGACTGCCATGATTATGATTGGAGTCCCTGGCAAAGTTTGGCCGAGTTCAACTAACTCACACCTAATTTCTGAACAAGGCCTACGATTTATAAAAAACTGTATGGAACTGCACTAATTCCCTAATTTAAACAGATCAACTGGCCTCAATGTATGTTTGAAATTCATGTGAGCCAGTCAATACTGCATTTTATAACAGCTTCAGCTATTTATATAACGGAATTATTTAAAGTTGACACCAATAGAGGACTAGAAGAGTGCAGAGTGCATAACGCTGAGAACAAGACCATGTTTTACCAGATGCTCGCTGCCATTCTCCAAGCACTTCTTATAGGTACGTATGCTGGCTGCAACATATGTTCACCATTATTATCATCACCATTTTTCTCTTTCTGAAATTGCCTGTGACATGCTACACAGCTCAGATGATTCATGGGCAAAGCGATAAGGAAGTTCTTGTTCAGCTCAAGAACTTCCTGCAGGTGCAAAACCCGATAAACCACGGCGCTTACGTCAGCTGGTCGGAGTCAGAGGCCTCGCCGTGCCATTGGAAAGGTGTTGGGTGTGATGATGCCGGGCATGTGAATTCCCTCGATCTTTCGAACTCAAACATCGCAGGTCCATTATTCAGAAACTTCTCACGCATCATGCGGCTTACCCACCTAAACCTTTCATCAAACAGCATCACTGGTGAACTCCAGGATGATCTCAAACAATGCCAGAGTCTCCAGCACCTCAACATATCCAACAACCTCATTGGTGGCATCCTTGATTTGTCCAGCCTGACCAACCTTCAGACACTAGACGTATCCCAAAATCGGTTTCAGGGAAGGATAGACAGAAACTTCCCGGGAATATGCGGCAACCTCACTTTCCTCAGTGTCTCCAGCAACAGCTTCACAGGCAGGATAGATAAACTATTTGACGGCTGCCCAAAGCTCAAGCATGTTGATCTCAGCTGGAACGGCTTCACCGGCATGGTCTGGCCAGGCATTGAAAGGCTTAGACAGTTCAAGGCCAACAACAACAACCTCACAGGGAGAATTTCTCCTGGCATGTTCACAGAAGGGTGCAAATTGCGCTCACTGAACATTGCTATCAACTCATTGCACGGTAGCTTTCCAAGCTCCATTGGCAATTGCTCTAACATGAAATTCCTTTCACTATGGGAAAACAGCTTTTATGGATCTATACCACCAGGAATTGGTTCGATTGCACGGCTTGAGGAGCTGGTCCTTGCAAGCAACAGCTTTGATGGAATTATTCCAATGGAGCTGACAAACTGTACCAACCTGAAATATTTGGACATCAGTGACAACAATTTTGGTGGAGAGGTGCAGGATGTCTTTGGGAAACTAACATGCATGAGGAGTCTGTTACTCCAAGAGAACAACTATACTGGTGGCATTACCTCATCCGGGATTCTCCAGTTGCCGAATCTAATTGTGCTTGACCTATGCTACAACCAATTCTCCGGTGATTTACCCAGTGAAATCAGCAGCATGAAGAATCTCAAGGTTCTCATGCTTGCTGAAAACAACTTCTCTGGTAAAATACCACCAACATATGGTCAGCTTCTCAGGCTCCAAGTATTGGACTTGTCCTTCAACAGTCTTTCTGGTGAGATTCCACCAGACATTGGTAACCTATCATCACTTCTCCTTTTGATACTTGCTGGGAACCAAATTTCAGGTGAGATCCCAAGGGAGATAGGAAATTGTACCAGCTTAGTTTGGCTTAACCTTGCTGGAAACCAGCTAATGGGGCAAATCCCACCAGAGATGGCAAATATAGGGAGCAATCCAAGCCCAACATTCATGGAGAATCGAAAGAACCCAGAACTTTTGGAATCTATCACCAGCAAATGTGTCGCTGTAGAGTGGCTTCCATCAAGTTATCCAGAATTCAACTTTGTTCAGTCCCTGATGATGTCTCAGAAGAACTGCCAAACCATATGGAATCGACTCGCCATGGGGTATGACGTACTTCCAATATCTTCACCACTGCGAACAGCATTAGGATATGTTCAGTTGTCAGGAAATCTGCTGTCTGGAGAGATACCATCTGCTATTGGTACAATGAAGAACTTCAGTTTGCTCCTTCTTGATGGAAACCGACTCTCTGGACACCTACCAGCAGAGATTGGTCATCTTCAACTTGTTGCTTTGAATATCTCAAGCAATTTTATTTCTGGTGAAATTCCCTCTGAGATTGGTCATATGGTAACACTTGAAAGCCTTGATCTGTCAAGTAATAACTTCTCTGGTGCACTCCCATCAAACCTTAACCAACTCACTAAACTGAGTAGGTTCAATTTGTCATACAATCCGCTTCTCTCAGGGAATGTTCCAAGCAGTGGGCAGCTCTCCACCTTTGATGAGCAATCTTTTCTGGGAGATCCACTGTTGTCTTTGAATGTAACAGCAGGTTCCAGTTCTGATTCTAGTCCAAGGGAGTTCTCATCATCTGACACAGAGGAGCATCCTACAAACGAAGAGATCATGGTGACAACAATTGCATTCCTTGCATTCTTTTCAGTCACATTGCTTACCAGAGAATTTCATATCTTCATGTACTTGTACTTCACAGCATCACGGAAAATTGCCAACTGTAGGATTATTTGCACCTGAGTGCTAGATAAGTTAAATCACTTAATAGAACAAATACCTTTGAAAAGCGAATGTGTCCCTTTATGTTCCATTTCTGATTTCAAATATAAATATTTACTAGACAATATGGCATGCTAGTTGGCATGTAGTCACATTGGACAAATCAGTTCAAACGAAGCTGCTGAAAAGATGACAAAGGACATATGCAACCGAAAAGGCTTGGTTGTGAAGATTGGAGAATCAGCATTTTCGACCAAACCCCTCTATAGTTTGTACCAGCAACCATAAATAAGTGCACTGTAACTAACCATGCTGTAGAACTGATATTACTGTCGATTTTAAAAAGTGACCAAACCATAATGTAGTAATGTACTGCATAAAACACTATGATATCAAGTTCGGTGTCAGCACTGATAAAGTTTCCAGCAAACATGCTTCTTGTTGATTGCAGTCTTCCTACCTTGCATGGCAACGTGCCAACTCAAAGAGTTATAAGTAGAGGATCTCTTTTTCCAAAAACAAATAGTAAGTTTACTGACAACTCAGTGCTCTTACAACAATGTAAGCATTTGGCAATACGCCTCTTTTGTGAATAATAACCATCCGCTTGACACTGGGAATCTCCAAGGTTGGTCAAAATTCACAAATACATCTGGCTATATATGAAGAATTGTTTCCCGCTGTACGTTTCTCTTCAACTGCAACTGCACAAGCTCCTATCAATGAAACAGCTGATACCATGAAAATATCATTTAATTTAGTCAAGAAAGATGAAATAAATTGTAAATTGCAGAACTATTTAATTCATACGGAGTCTAAATCAGCTCAAAGGAAAGAAGTGGACTCTAAAGCTTTGCATTTTGAAAAAGCATAGGTCAATCATACACCATGGAAATATTATTTTGAATCAAGGTCTCAAGGAAGAAGCAAATAATACAAGTCTCAATTGCATAATTAAATCAGATATCATATAATTAAGGATGAACTGAAGGATATGCCCATATCTTAAATATATCGGGAATATGTAGCAAAGAGATAGATACCCTACTCTAATCATGTAGACAGAGGTACTGCATGAGCAGTTATTCAACAGACATTCATGACTTCATGTACCCAGTCCCATCTCTTAGAGTGGAAGACTTCTACCATGTAAAAAGGCATGAGCAAATGCAAAGGGTTCAGCCTGTATAGTTATTTGATTCCAGTGCAATAGATAATCATTGCCAATGCATGTCTCTAGTCCAGAACTCCAGATTGCCATATCAATAAATTTTGAAGTCACTATTTAGCTGGTAAGTTGTGTTAAGTGAACCAGGCTCAAAGTCATTGTACTCGGTGGAACTTAACCGTAGCACAAATAACAACATGAAAATACTATGACTTGTTTCTCTTGTCATCTTATCCAATGTGTTGTATTCAATAGTATCCACCTTGGAACTCACATTTAAAGAAACCATTTTGGAACAGGGGTACATAGAATGTCAGCTTGATTGAGATGGATTTGTATACAGCTAACTACCTTAGTAGATGCACTTTCAAGAGTATATGCATCTGTAGGAAGAGTTTGCTATCAGGGTTTCCCTTACCATTTACCGCCTGGTAACCGCGATAAACTGAGAAAAACCGGACAAAATTTACCAAATTTTATTTTTTTAAAAAAAAAATACTTTTTAACGTGGTAGGGATACCGGGCCTTTACCGTTACTGTGCCCTGGTGGTAAGCCTGGTTACCACAGTAACCAGTGGTAAGGGAAACCCTGATTGTGGTTGTTATTGCCTTTTGTTATTGTAAATTTTCCGCTACTTAAGGGATTGGATAAGGTATCTCAGTTGCACTTAGGAGCACTAGATGTTGTATGTAGTTTTCTGACCATCTATATCATCATCAACAAAACTTATATCTGAAGTTCTAAATGTACTTCAGTTTGTATAATAGTGAGAACATTTCTCATTGAATGTGAGCACAAATTTCTACCAAGATCATTTTCTTGGTTGTGTTGGGGATAGTCAGGTCACAGTCATCTAGCCATGGATTTGAACTTTATGAGAAAGCTGGTGAATAACACATGTGATTGAATAATTTTTTTGCGAAAATGGTGGGCCAGTCCCAATCTATCCAGTGTAGTGAGCACTAACTTAAAGCATTAATTCTAAGAGTCCCCTTTTAAACACTAAAGTTAATATAGTGAAATTCCGAGCATTTGACAGATTCAAGATAAGCAGTACCTTAGAGGACGTTTTGAGATACGTTTTCACCTCAAATCCATCTAACCCTGAATGATGAACTCTTAGTTATTCGGTTTAACTTTTATCAAGAGGTTGTAACTATAATAAGTAATAAGGTGCATTAAATTGGTCACATAAAAATGAATCACAAAGCATGTAAAGTAAAGGCATCATATGCACAACCACAGAGGAGAATTTTAAATAATAGATCAGCATGGGAGAGACTGAGTTTTAGATGAACATGTCAATAAGTCATGCTGAGAAAACAATGTCATGTTAAGGATTACATGAATTCATCATCAACTGTCAAAGGAATAAACAGCTATATTGTCAAGTAGAAATATGAACAAAGAAGGTCGATGATGCTTTATCATTAAAAGGCATGGTCTAGAATGCTTACCGATGTGATAGTGTACATTCTTCAATTTATCCAAATGCATTCCTATCTGATCTGCACATCCCAGAAATAGCAAGCTCAAAGAACCACAATATCCTGATTAATCTCTAGAAGAACACTACTACTGAATTCCTTAATTAAATTTCTCTGCATCACATGATTACATATCTAACACTAAATTGAGATGCTTGTCCCAAATATTAGTTGTATTTACCTTCCTGATAAAAATATCCCAAGAATCATCATCCAAGAAATCCCGTCAACTTAAAACTACAATTTCAAGAATTTTGCTAACGATATCTTTATGTATTGACTATTGAGTCAGAAAAGCTATCAACCAAAATTTGCAAAAGAAGCTTTGCTTGGACTGCATCCTCTGGTCACCATCTCAAAAACTGCAGCCCCTTCATTTGGCTTCCCCGTTTTGCATAATCCCTTTATCAATACATCATAAGTCGTTGCATTTGGTCCATATCCTCATTCAACCATCACATTACACACCCGCCCAGCCTCCTATAACTCCACATTTTCACATAATCCTCAAATAAGTGAATTCTACGTTAACAGACTCGGTTTGAAACCCCTCTCGAGTTCATCAACCAGGTTCCTTTCCTTGCAAACCATTCCATTCTTGCCCAACCAATAGATCAATGTGCTTGTGACCACATTATCTGGTGGCACGTTCTTCTGTACCATCCATCTCCTCATTTCATATGGCTCATTTACTTTTCCACCTTGGCATAGCACATCAACAACTTTAGCACCTCACTTATTTGCGTGCCTCAGCAGATTTTGTGACCTCATTCGGTTGTAACCTGGCCACATCCATAATTTTGGCTGCATGTTGGAGCATTCCGCACTGGCAGTAACTGCCAATGAGCAGAGTGTGCATCGTAGCATATGGTCTACAGTCACTCGCAACTATATCATCATAAAGATTTTGTGCACACTCAAGATCCCCCTTTCCCACAGTGGACAGCAAGAACCGTGGTGTAGGTGACGGCATCTGGGGCGATCCCCAGGCCAGGCATTTCATCGAGTACCTTGAGGGCAGAATCCAGGTCACCGATGCCAACAAGCCCCTTGAGCAGGAATGCAGGATGTTGCGGTAGCCGATAGACGAGATTGGGTGTGATGTAGAGGTTAGTAGGCACATCGCAAGAGAGCGCGGCAGCAAAGCGGAGGCGGCGCGCGGAGATGAGAGAATGAAGGAGGCGGCGCGGCTAGGGCTGGACGGTCGAGGTGACGGTGTGGTGGGCGAGTGGCACGGTGGTGGTCTTTGCGGTGGAGAAAGAGAGGGCGGTGCAGCGTCGGCGTCGGCGGGCGTACACTAACAGCGGCGGCATGGGCGGAAGGAAGGGAAGAGACAAATTCACAGGGGCTGTTCTTAAAATTCCATAAAACATTCTACAATAGGGCCACTCTGTAAATTCCCATTTTTCTCTTTGTGAAATCATGAAAGCCCTCACTGTAAGTGAAGAAAACTACCTCGTTTGTTCATTATAAGATATTTTGGGTTTTAAATAGATTAATGCACGGGTTCATATATGTGTCAAAATACCATATTTATCCCCACTAAGACCATGTTTGTTTCAGCGATTTAGATTATTGAGTCAGATTACTGTAAGCTGGATTATAATAAGCTGGCGTAGAATGAGCTATGAGTTATTTGTTTCTCTGGACTATTGGAGGCATGGATTACTGGGTTTGAAAGGCCAAAGTTTATAATGTCCTCAACTATTTTGGATGCCTTGCTCATCCTTTTTGTCACTATATACAACAAATACATATTTTGAAAATAGCTAAAAAAATAATGTCATGTATTAATAAATAAATCATTCATGACAACTTTTTTATAATAGAGTAAACACCAAATTATTATCTCCTAGCAAATAAAACATCGGAAATATTATCACACAAGATATTTGTGTCTCCCTCTTCGTCTCCAAATTGACTAGCATTCGCTTGAGATGAAGGCATCATCATATAGTTTTCATCATTATCACACCGATCAAACTCTTCCCACTCAATTTACTATCTCGAATAAAATTATGAAGCGCCATGCATGCATGTATAATGCATATATAGCATCGGATAACTCATATGTCCAACAAAATTTCTCCATTTCATCTTCAAAATACCAAAAGAACGCTCAATCATATTACAAATAGATGAATATAAGTGGTTGAACACCTCCTTGTCACTAGAATGCCTAGTGAAGGAGCCGGCGCGCAGTGACGGTCCAGATTAGAGAGAAGCCCGAGCGTGGGGTGAGGAAGACGGCGGCGCGGCTAAGGTAGGAGAGGCCCGATGCTCGCGTGACCAGGGGACGAGGCAGTGGCGCACGCTGCTGGGGGAGGAGGAGGCCGATGCCCACGCGGCCGGGGTAGATGCACACGCGGAGTGGGGAAGGAGTCCGCTCTGTTTGGTTGGATGACAGAGATGGGTAATTTCTTTTAAGTATCTTGGGGTAGTGGGTCTTTAGCCGTGAAATAATATGGAAAAAAAGCACTTTTGGAGGAATTACCAGATTATACTAATATGGCTTATATATTATCCATTCATTTCAAATTACTCATAATAATCTAGATTATGATAATCTTAAACTAAAACAAACAGGGTCTAAGGGTTACTTAAGTGCTATTTTCTCAAGAAGCCATATCACAACAATTGTTGTTAGCCTTTGGATAATTCATCAATGGTGCAAATTGCATCTTTTCTTCCCAAAAGCTGCACCATATAACTCAGTCATTTATAACCTTTGGATAATTAGAAGAAGGGAGAAGAGGCCAAAACAACTTGACGGAGCTCGTGGCTCCTCACCGGGAGACCGCGCAGGCCCCCCTTTGCCGGTTCGGCCGGGGGCTTAGGGTGAGATCTCAAGCTCTCGCTGTGTGTGGAAAGATCGTCCGCCCGCAAGACACACGAGACACGGCGATGTATACAGGTTCGGGCCGCTGCGAAGCGTAATACCCTACTCCTGTGTTTTGGTGGATCTGTGTATGAAAGAACTACAAAGTGTGAGCCGACCTCTCCCTTGTTCTAGGCTCTGAATCTGGAAAGAATCATCCCCCTTCTCTATGGGCAAGGTCCTCCTTTTATACTTCAAGGGGATACCACATGCACCCTTCTCTTTCCAAACTGGACTTTTCTTCTCTTTATGGACGGAGATTGGTATGGTTGCTGTCCGAATGACACTTTGATGGGACAGCCCACACCTACCTCCACTCCCAGCGGAGACGGGCGCAACGTGGGATCGTGGCTGCCCGTTGCTGACGCGACCAGTGTCAGACCGGTCATTCTTGTCCACCACGCGTCAGTTTAATAGCATGCATGTTTGCCCTTCTTCGTGTAACACCTTGTCTGTAATGGTTAGGATGAAGCCTGGTATAAATCTAACCAGGGCTAACGTGCCATCTCTAAGAGATAACACGCTAGCTCCGGCTTGAGACGAGTTGCCTAGAGGCTTTCGTCTTGACGGGATGGGGCAAGGCGTGCGTCAGACCGCCAGTCGCCACCTAACCCTTGATCTGACCGGTCTGTGACTGGTCACAGACCGGATAAAAGAGCGTGCTGTACTGCGTTGCATGCAGCGTGACACGCTTGACCAAACTGCAATAAATGCTGTTAGGTGAGCACAGCTGTGCTCACTTATCCCATATATGTGGCGCAGACTCCTTTAAGGGGTCGGGGTGCTTCGGCCCTCGGGGTCGGGGCAAAAGCAACCCGACCCCCCCTCGGGGGAAATCAGGAGGAGGGCGGACACCTCACCCTCGGGCCCGACGTCCCCGAAGGTGCCAGGCCACGTGGGCGATTGTGTCTGCCTCAAGCCTCTGGTCATGATACTCCCGGTCCCATATCACCGACAGTAGCCCCCGGCGTTATGCCAGAGCAATTTCCCTTCCCAAGGGAAGCGGTCAGGTGTGACGCCACCCCTAAAGCCTGGTGACAGGTGGGACCGGTCTCCGTAGTTGGGCAAAATACCCAACGGTCTCAATCCATGCACATTGGTATTGATAACTTTGGTTGTCCATAATGGGCGGTCTATTCAAGACTGCCACATCACTTGAGCAGCGCGCGAATCTGGGTGAGCAGATTTGTCTCGCTCGGAGATACGGTAACGCCGCTTCAGTCGGCGAGCGTAATTAACGCGCGCACGATACAATCCGTTTCGATTGCCACAACCGCATATCCACTTCACGCGCCGTAAGCGGGCGAATGGGATTAGTGGAAGCGTGGGCACGGGAAACTAGGGAGCGAGATAGCGAGATACGAGGGAGCGAGGTAGTGGGCGCGAGAAACGAGGAGCCAGGCCCAGCGATGGCAAGGGTATAAAAGCATCGAGAAAAGGATTTGCTCCCTTCCTTTCGCCATTGTTCCTCTTGCCTTCGCCGCCTGAGCTCTAACTCTTTCTCTGCTACGCCCTACTTTCGCCACACGCGCTCGTTCTCAATCATCTCTTCCTCAACCGCCATGGCACGGGGCTCTGCTCTGCTCGACGGCAGTGTACTACCGCCTTCCCGCATCGTGAACGAGAGGCACGCCGGACTGCCGCGCCGCTTCATGCCTGAGTCCGCCACCGGTCGGGAGACAGTGATGCTGGGCGAGGGGCGCCCGGCACCAGACTACCCGGGGCGGTCCATCTTCTTCCTCCCCTTCGCAATGGCTGGGCTGGTCCCGCCATTTTCTCATTTCTTCATGGATGTCCTGGAGTTCTACGATCTCCAGATGGCGCACCTCACCCCCAATGCGGTGATGACATTGGCCATCTTCGCGCACCTGTGCGAGATGTTTATTGGGGTGCGCCCCTCTCTTCAGCTGTTCCGGTGGTTCTTCACCGTGCAGTCGGTGTCACCGCCGTCGGTGGTTGGCGGCTGCTACTTCCAGCCGCGGGGGCCGGTGTTGAATCGCTACATCCCCTGCGTCCTCCGCAAGAAGTGGGACGACTGGAAGAGCGACTGGTTCTACACCCCCCTCGCCAACGAAGCGCGCCTCCGACTTCCAAGCCAGCCCCCGGCGCAGGTCTCCAGCTGGCGGGCGCCGGTAGATCTGGGGGAGGAGTACGACGCCGTCCTCGACCGCCTGGCGGGCCTGCGATCCCAGGGGCTCACCGGGGCCATGGTGTACGGCGATTACCTCCGTCGCCGGATTGCGCCGCTCCAACGGCGCGCCCGGAGCGCCTGGGAGTACACTGGTCCTGAAGACTACATGCGGACCCACCAGGGAGCCAGATGGGATTGGGCTCCCGAGGACTTCAAGATCGTGGTCCAAAGGGTGCTGAATCTTGGCTCCGCGGAGGCGTCTCGCATTCCTCAGGAGATCCTCCCCCTCTGCAGCGATCCCGACCGCGCCTCCATTCTAACCATTATGATGGGGGTCGGGGCCTCAGAGGAGAGAGCCCCTAAGGGCCACGACGGCGCGGGCGAGCGCCGCCGGGGGGAACAATCTGCCCCAGGAGGGGGTCGTGCTTCTGGGCCCCGCGTCGGGGGCTCGGGGAGCAGCCGCCCTGCCGACGCCCAGGGGAAGAGGAAGCTGGGAGGAACACCTCCCCCATCTCCTCCCCGAGGGGGCGGGGCGGCGCGTGCCAGTAGTCGGCGCCCGGAGGGGGCCGCGCCGACGTCACAGCCCGAGGGGGAGCGCAAGAAGAAGCGGCTCCGCAAGATGGGGGAGACGGAACCAGCCCGGGGAAACCTGATTTCCCCTCCAAAGTGGTCATTTAACCGACCCCCTCGCAGGTTCGTCTCACTCTTATTGCGACCATCTTTCTCCCAAACGGAAGTTTTTTCTTACTCATTTTGTTCGTCTTCTGGTTTTTTCTTCTGCTTCAGCGATGTCCCGTCGCATTCCTCCCGCCACCCCAAGTCCGGCCAGTCCGAGGCCGAAGATCCAGCGGCCGCAGAGGAGCGGAGGCGAGAGTCTGACCGGCGTGAAGCCGCAGCCCGCCTTCGGGAAGCTGAAGAGGCCGCCCGGGAGGCCGCCCGGGTTCGCCAAGCGGAGGAAGCTGCTCGGGAGGAGGCCGCCCGGGCTCGCCAAGCCGAAGAAGCTGCCCGGGAGGAGGCCGCCCGGGCTCGCCAGGCTGAGGCGACAGCTGCTGCTGGCGCGTCACTTGGGCCTACTCCCTCGGGCGGCCCTCAGGCGACATCCTTCGAGGCGGCTCGCGACGAGGCCGCGGGCGCGTCGCCTGGGCCTACCTCACCGGGCGACGCCCAGGACCAAACGGGCCCGGGGGACATCCCCGAGCCCAGCGCATCCTCCGGGGGGCCAAGCCGCGTCGCATTTTCTCCAAGGCGGCTCTTTTCCTCATCTTCTGTCGCCCCGCTGAGCGCCGAGCCCCTTCTGCAGGCCCTGGCCGCCGCGAACACCGCAGTGCTGGATGGGTTCAACGCCCGAGTGGAGGCCCTGCGTGCGGAACGAGCGGAGCTCGAGGCCGCATGGGCGCGTGTTGAGGAGGGGCGGCGCTCGGTGGACGCCATGGTGGAGGTGGGCCGTAAGGCTCACCGCCGCCACATCTCGGAGCTTGAAGCCCGCAAGGCGGCGCTGGC